AATTTAATAAATCCATTCGTGTAATTGGTTTTGGTATCTCTTGGATTTCATCATCAGATAATTCTATCACCTAATTAAAAACAAAAATTATAAATTTTCTTAACATTAGTATTTTAATATTATATACAACAATTATAAATATCATTATACCTCATGTTTTGATTTCTTAAATTTATATTTTTTTGAACAGCATTCAGAATTCTTAATAGGATCTAAAATATCAGTAGTTGATAATTTGTCTGTTCTTCTAGGTACTAATTTAACATTACGTTGTATACGCGATGCTTGCCAATTTGTTGATACATTATTTCTTTTGATATAATCATTCATTTGATTTGTGACAATTCTGATATTACTTAATAAAGTCTCATTTGATATAATTTCTACTTTGGATTTTTGTTTTTTTTTATCTTCATTTACATTTAAATTACTATCCAACTTTTTTTCTTTTTTTGTATTGTTTTGATATTCAAAATTTGAAGATTGAGTTTCAATATTTTCTACTGAACAAAGAAGATTTTCTATAACTTCATAGACACTATTTAATATATTTTTATCTTCTGTTGTATCTTGACAAATTTTTATGGAAAAATTGTTAATATTTGTATCAGTTTTTTTTATATAATTAACAGATTTTTTACTATTATACATATTTATACAATCTTTATTTTGTTCTTGAATATCAGTCATCCAAAGACCATTTTCAGGTTCAACAATAACTTTACGTTTTTTACCAGAATTTTCATCACTTTTTGAATTCTTTTCTGAATTATAAACAAAACGTTGAATACGATAACCATGTCGTATTAATTGACTATAAACTCTATATTCTTCCAATGAACATTCAACATTATCAATTAAAAGTTCATAGGCTTGTTGAATAGATAATGATACATCATTCCATGTAAGTTCTAAACAATTCTAAAATAGAATAATGTTTTACTTTTTTTATTGTATTTGAAAATAATTTTTGTAAACATTATTATTTTACAAAAATAATAATTTTGGAATAACATACAGTTTCTAGAAGAAATAATGCTTCTTCTGGTATTAAATACAAAGTACCACTTTTTTCCAAACCAAAACTACTCCAATCCTGACCAGAATATTTTTTTACTTTTGCCCTTTTTTGTGCAGGTAACCATTCTGCACTAGCTAACTGAGAAATACGATCTACTCTTTCTATAGCTATTAAATTTTTTCTAGTCATAATACCCTTTTCAATTTGCATATTTTGAAGCCAAGAATTATTTGGTTCAAATTGTTTCATTTCAGATTTTGGAAGAGTTTTAACTGATTTTTCATATTCATTCCATGCATTATACTTCAAACCTTTATTTTCTAACAATTCCTCTGCCCTGAAAGATATCAATTTGTAAAATATGTTACGTTAACCTTATATAACAGAAATTAAAAAAATAATAAAAATAATCAAATTTAAATTTATTAAAAACTTACGTTAACATATTAATAGGAATACTTTTTGTTCCTTCTGTCATGATTCTGGTGTTCTTTTTTGCACAATTTTAAAAAATATTTAAATTCAATCACTCATTATTTTGGTAAAGTTTTGATTTATGTGTATTCTTAAAAATGATTTAAAGTATTTGTGTAATTTTTTTAAATTGTGTGATTAAATATGAAATCTAAATCTCTACTAAATAAAAATTTAGAAGATTTATATATACATGTAATAATAATATAATTGTAGATGTAATTATTAAAACAATTTTTCAATCAAATTTATTTTATTTTCTTAAAAAATTTATGCAAGATTGAAAATATAAATATTTATACATATATATAATAAAAATTCAAAAATATTTCATTTTTTAATTATTTATTATTATTTTAAAATTATTTAAATTTAATTTTTTTTATTCTAGTAAATTTTTTTTAATAAGAGATGAAATTTTAACTATATTTATAATTATATTCATTATACTATTTAAAATATAGTTTCATTTTAATTCTTTCTTACTATTGGATAACTGTAAATAAATGAACGGAACTATCCAATTAACATAAAGTATGTGATAGTTACATTTGGAATTAAAAAACTTCGCTACATTTGCTGTAATATATATATAAAATAATTATTTTTAACTCATATATGTATATATATAGATTATAATTGATATATATGAATGACAAAAGTAAAATATCGATAATTTAAAGTGATGCATAATATATTCTTTCGAGATTTTATATATCACACTTTTACACATCATCGATGGTAAGTAATATTAATTCACTTGATTTGTTTCATTTTTCATTGTTAAAATGTGATAATATAAAAATAATAATTGTGTAAATATATATATATATATATATATATATATATATATATATATAGATATAGTT